CCGGGCACCGTGGCAGGCATCCGGGGGAGGAAGCAAGGTGCCGATTTTCCACCCGCTGGCCAAAACGACAATAGGAGGAGGGCTTACACGTGCCACCTTGGCGGCATCTACCGCCCCAGCTGTCCGCCAAGCCCCCCCGGCCCGGAATAGGGCTGCTTAGCTCCGGAGTTGGCGACTGATATGCCCCCAATCTGACGGACTAGTGCGTGTGGCGTTCGAGTTTGATGAATCTTCACCTTGGTGTCCCGCGGCTGAACAAGGCCGCCCGAGAGATCCGAGTGACTGGTCCTGGGCCCTCTTCTGCATGTTGTCCTATGCAAAGCCCGCATGTCAAAATTCAATCCAGCCACAGAGCAAATCTCGTATCCAACCTGCCACCCCTCTCTCCAAGCATGGCGTTGCATCGACCGCGGAGGCAATTGCGGGGGTGGGTGGCCACATGCTGGGCATAAGCACAAGATCAACGGGGGAGGGGGAGAAGCAGATCCCATTGGCCAAGACGGTTGCTGATTTCACATGCATCAGAACTATGTACACCCACATCACTGGCTGGCCCACGTCGTGACGCGTTTTCTTTTCTTCAGCCCTCACCAGTCCGATTGTTGGAGCCCTTTACATACTAGCGTGGTCGCCTCGATGAGAGATCCTAACCGCAGCACAGAACCAAGCGAACGGCTAAAGGTGGATGCAATGTGGCGTGGCTGTCCGCTGATTGTTTTCCATTCGAAGCAGGTGAAATGATTATGTAGGTATTATCCAATGGAAGATGAGTGCAGATTGTGACAGCTGCCAGGAACGGGAGAGACGGCTGAAAGGGGTTTTATTCACAATACAGGTCATATTGGGCTCATATCAATCTATGCCAGAACTATAACTGATGGATGATTTAAAAACATCGTCTAGAATATGATAAGAGTAAAGAATGGGGGAAAGACGAGAAAAAAATAGCAGGAGAACACCAGCAACGGACAATACCGATAAGCGAGTGCCGAAAAGTGTGAAAAGTGGCATGGATGGAGAAGAGATGTACAAACGCCAACCATCGTCCGACCCCGTCGTAAAAGCACGAGCATATCGAAGCATGCAGTAAATACAATGCAAAATACAAGGCTGAAGAAGTCCAGGTAATACGGAAAGGTGCAGCAAATCGGTTGAGGGATTGCATGCAACAGCAAGAAATATAACGTCGTAGCGGAGCGCGGGCAATCATGGGCGATTTGACCTGGGGAGGTAGCGACTTCCGAGGGCCCTGCCCAGCGCCACACTCATCCTACTACCGATTGTATTGTCGGCTTGCATGTTGCTGGCCAGGGCCTCTTCAAGGGCCGACTGTGTCACTGACGCGTCTAGTAGGCGGCAATCTCGTCAGCATCTCAGATGTTGGAGCAGGCTCAACAGCGCACACGAGATCGAAGGAAAGATAAAAGTTACCATCAAGATCGCTAAAGCTACTTCCCATGCTGGGAGTGCCGCCATCGCTGCCATGATTAGATAGGCCATGACCCTTTCCTTTAGCCCTGGCTGCAGCGCGGCCTGACAGCTCTGCTGTGCGTCTAGGGCTCAAGGGGGCCACGTTGCGGGCTTCCTGAGCCGGGGACCGGTTTACCAAGGCAGTCGAACTCGCCGAAGAGTCTGACATTTGTGACTGCCCAAGCGACGCTATGCGACGGGCTTTGGGCGTGGACGGCGGGAGAGGAGTGCCGCCACCGCGCCTGGCAGCCGCCATGTCGCGTGGGTCGCCTCGGAGCGTCGCGCTGGGGTCAGAGTACTGACCACCCGAGAAAGGAAGGAAGGCTGGTTCGGCATCATCGTCGTCCTCGTCCGGCGAGACAGCCCCGTCGGCAGTGGCAAGGCCGTCGACTGGTTTGGTCGCTCCTCCGCTTCCAACGCCTGCGCCGCCCGTATTACCCGACGTTGCTGTGAACCGAGGCGGGCGACGGATGATGCGCGACTGAGCCGGGCTCGACGACCTCGAGGAAGACGCTGAGCTGGATTCAGCAGGACCGGGAGACTGCTCATCGTCCTGCGGGTCCTCATCGTCGCCGTCATCGTCCTCCTCGCGTCGCGGTGGACGGGTTGCGCTCGTAGGCGTTGTGACGATGGGAAGTGACGAGAGCCGTTTCCGCTGACCGCTTACATCAACCCCCTGCTGCCGCAGCGCGGATGCCCCTGCCGTAGTACCGCGCTTCTGCTGGGTGCTGTTGCCCGAGGACGATGCGCGGGACACCTGGGGTCTGCCTTCAGAAGCAAATGGGGCGGCTTGTTTCCCAGCGGGCACACCTGCGTCCTTGCGGATGGACAGCGAAGAGGGTGCCCTCGGATAGCCAGCGGCAGAACCCACCCTCCTCATCTCTGCGGCAGTAGCGGTAGTAGACTCTGAGCCAGGAGGAACCGGCGAGGGCGCAGCGGAGCCCCGCTTGCCAGCGGTGGTGGCCTTGCGCATCTGCATCTGGGCGCGGACCTGGGAGGCATGGCGCTCGGTGAGGTAGGTGACCTGCCTGAGCAGAAAGTCGACCGTCACGTCAAAGTCGGCAGCTCTGTAAAAGGGACTTTGTCAGAAACACCCATGTGGGAGAGGGCCAGCTGGAACATGACGCCAAGAAAATGTGAGATGTGTCGCCATACATTGCATCCCCTGCAGCAATTCCAACCGAGTCAGCAAGCAACGCCCCTTTCTGGGAAACAATAGTCACGGTCAACAAAACAGAAGAGATACGCACAGTCAATTTCCGTCTTGGAGACACCCGAGAGGATGTTCCACAGTCGCTCGTCCTTAGAGGAGTCCCAGTTGACCTGGCGCACAAATCATTGGTCGCCGAGTGGTGTCAGCCAATCACGTCACCAAAAAGCAGGCGGCTGGCGCGGGAAAGAGGCGAGGACTCCCGCGCCGCGTACAGGAGCAGAGGGGAGCTCACTGCTGGAGGGTCTACAAAGTCGCCCCGCGCAAAGGGGAGGCGGATGTAGAGCGTGTATGCCGGCTCGGGATCCATCCCGGTGTTTCCACGTGCCCGTGACTCTGGCGAGAGCAGCGGCGGCGATGGGCGGCGGCAGTGTACGACCTCGTTTCGCGTTCAGTCCAGCCGGGCGTCTGGTCAGCAGGAGGCGACACGAGTTACGGACGGGCTCCTCGAGCAGTGAGCAAGGCGACCTTGGGGTGACCCAGGCTGAGTGACCTAGGTGACGGGCCAGGCAGGTGCAGGTGCGCCTTTCCCCGGATTCCTCGTCATACATGACTTATCGATAAGATAGCTGCGCGCCTTCCCGCCGCATCCATTGAGAATTCAGGTTTACCCACTGGCCGCTAGCGCTATCTAGGTGGGTCTTAGCCTCAAACTAGGCGCTGATCCCTGAAAGCGCGCTGGATCGGGCCTAGCACGTGAATTTTCTTGCTGTTTCTGAGCCGCACGGCTGTCGGTTGCTAGGGCAGTCGAAACTTTCGCGTGCGCGTTGGCGTGTGTGAGCAGCAAAGGCGATTTAGTCATCGAGCATCGAAAGAAGCATCCAAGACCGAACAGCGGGAAACCAGCGACCGTCGCATTCCCAGGATTTCTCCATCAGTCAAAAATCATTAATCGCCGCCCTGCTGTCCATATCGACCCGCGCACGCCTCTGAAGCCCTTTCCGGACTGTTTTCTCCGGCCTTCTCCTTTTCATCATTTCGCTTCCGAGGCAGCCAGCATTCACAATGGCTCCTTTGATATTACACAACGTCCCCGACGACGAGCTCTACGTAGGCGAGGACGGCAAAAAGAGGCCATACGCCATGGTTTTCCCACAGTACGTCCACCAGATCAACCCATGAGCAACATCAGCAATACGGTTATGTCTTCGGCGTCGCCTCGCCGCCCGTTTGTCTTGAGCATGCTCTAACCTCCTCGCTCGCCACAGACACGAAGGGCACGCCGCCGCATTGCGCGGGAGGCGAGCAGTCGTCGCCGAGACCGGCTCGTTCGGCCGATCCGCACGAAGATCACGATCAAAAACCGCCACGCCCGCTCGGAGGGAAGACCCCACGCTTGCGGCCGCCGATGCAGTGTTTAAGGGCTGGTTCGCGAACCAAAACAAGGCGAAGGAGGGCGAGGACGGGCCGGCGGCGGCGGCGCAAAAACAACGAAAGGCGAGCGGCGAGCTGCCCATGGCGACTGGAGACGACGCACCGGCCACCGCCTCGACGGCGCGCTTCGAGCAGCAGCGCGTGCCTGTCGAGGTCATCCTGCGCGGCTACCGCTCGTCGAGGCAGCAGTACGCGGCCATCGACCACTACGAGCAGCTGGCGGGCATGATCTGCGAGGACTACGCGCGCGACCCGCCGGCCGAAAACAGGCGCTACCGCTCGGAGCTGCGCGACGCTGCTAGGGGCTCGTCGTCGCTCGCGCCGGGTGGCGGCCGTATCAGCGGCCGCCGGCGCGCCCTGACGCCCGAGGAGCGCGCGCGCGTCAACCGCGCCGACAGCGGCGAGCACTGGGTCAAGGTCACGTTCGAGTCGGCCGCCGCTGCCGACAGGGCCATGTCGGTCTCCCCCCAGCGCGTCCTGGGCCACCTCGTCTACTGCGAGCCCTACCACAGCATGCCGCCTGCCGCCGGCGACATAGCAGTTCCGGACATGATCGGGAATGCCGGCGAGCTGCTCGCGGGAGCCGCCGCGGCGTCGGGCTCGCGATTCCAGTCCAGGGGCACTTCCAGGACAGAGCCTGGCGGCGGCGGCGGCGGCGGCACCTCGTCCTCGGCCCCCAAACCATACTCTTCTCTAGGGCTACCTGGCGACTTCCCACCCTCAGTCACCTCGATGCCGTCCTCGCGGACCATGGACACGGGCACGCTCGACTCCTTCACCGAGAGCATGACGGTATCATCAGCCACCGCCACGGGCCGCGAGGCGCCGGCGAGGCAACGCGTGTCGTCCGCATCCCCGCGCGCCGGCGACGACGGCCTCTACTGCAGGACGATCCCCACGGTTCCCAGGGCCAAGCTACGGCCGGCGGAGCAGGCTCTGCTGCCGCAGCAGTCGCTTGCGCAGCGGGTCATCAACATTGTGCCCTTCATCAAGTGGTTCAGCGGCTCCATGATTGGCAACGAGGTGCCCCGGACCGACCTCGGCGATTTCGACTGGGACAAGGCGAGCCTCTACTGGAAGGTCATTTGGTGGCTGGACTCTACCTTTAGGCTGTTTGGAGGCGAGATTGTAAGCGCAGACAAGGACGACTAGGTAGGGATCGGATGGCTGGGATGGGGAAAAATGATCCAGCAATCACAAGGTCTTAATAATTACTCTGCGCTGGCAACCTACGGACACTCGGTCGGGACCGATATGGAGTTTGGCTTGTATCAACTCTTTCTTGTTTTCTGGGACGGTAACTCGTGTCTATTTGTCGCATATTCAAACTCTTTCTCCTCGTAGCCTTGTCCTTGCTAGTTGGCATTTGCACCCACGATGCATGTCGTCAATCTTTCGGCTGAGACACCACAGCCCACTGCGACTGCTGACGAACCTCGATTGTCCTTGTACTGTAAAGAAAAGATGCAGGGGCGGGACGAGCTACCTACTGTCTCTGAGACACGGGGACAAGATGGGACTTGAGGAGAGTTCATAAGTTGTGACCCGTATCACTTAGCATCCGGCAATCCCGATCGTGAGAGGGGGGGTGAACGGAAGCTGATCAACCGGGCGGCGAGCTGGGCATCCACACCGCACCGCCAGCGAGATCTGGCATCCGCGGCGGAGGAGCGTGTCAGATCGGCAAACCAGTTGGTGACAGCCGTGACTGAACCGCGGTGATGGAGGACCTTGGTGGGATGCGGCTCCAATGCTCCCCAGTCGGCAGGTGGACCGGGCCATCCTGTCCGCCGCGTCCTGCTGCCTAGGTTGGCATCTTGAGACGTGCGTTGGGGCAGATTGTCCATGTTTCTGGATGCTGTTGCGATAGGCTCCTGCTTTCTTGTTTTCCATCCGAGTGCCGTGGCCCGTGATGCGTAGGTGGTTCCCAGAACCTCGTTGGGCACACACAGTGCTTGACCATATCTCCAGCCAATGCTCTTGGCCTGGGGAAGCATCCGGGAACCAAGTCACCCATGCTGATCATTGGATCTCTTGTTCATTTGTCGAGCTGTTTGCGATTATCATGGTTCAGTGTCGTACGCATTTACATGAGATATCTGACAATGTCATGCTATATGTATTTCGACGTGTTATCGTAAATCAAATTCAAGTTCTTGAAAGACAGACGAATCTATTGTTGCTGCACGTAATTGTCTCTCCAAATAATATTTAGCGAATAATTAGTTCAAATTATCCCAAAAGGCATCACGAGACACAACTTTGGTTGGGTGGTGATCCATACTATGACGATATTTAACTGCATGCATACGTATATTTTGCATAATGTTCAAATTTATCAAATCATGTAGATATTACATCCATTCCGTTCCTTCGTTATTCCCTATTCGCCTTGCTCTTCGCATGCCATTTACACGCCCGCATACGATGCTACAGAACGATTTTACCACTCAATTGCTCTCACAAACTGTGTCCTTCCTTCAAAATAGATATGATATGATATATCTCCGCACCGCACCGAGCGTCTCATAAGCAATAGCCACGATGTGCCCGGCTCCCAGCGTCTGGGTTGAATGCCTCTAGAAGGCTGCGGCCCGAGAGAGGGAGACTCGGGCCGGATCCAGTCAGGGGCTGTGGGCGCTCCTTGGGCAGGCGAAGGGCGATCTCGGCTGCCCGCCAGAGAGGCAACCGGGGGACACCCAGCCTGACGAGCAACTGACTCGCGCCCGAAATTGTCTGTGAGTGGGTTTTGGGGAGGAAAAAGGCCACCAGTCACGGCCGGTAGCGAGACCGACACGATAGCCAAGAACACGACAGGCCAAGATGGCCGAGGTTTTGTTTGGTTCTGGTCGAGATCGCCCTCATCTCTTGCCGCTGGCCTTGAGAACATATGGCACCTGCTTTGTCGTGCGTGCTTTACACCAGAAGGCCGGGATGTTTGGCTCCCAAACATACCTCCGGCGGCTCCTTCAGCCCTTTCCATCACCATGGGTGAATCGCAGATCCCATCATATGCCAGGTCCGGAGTGAGTCGGATTGGCCTTGATTCTGTGCTGCATTGCCACATCGCACCGCGTGGCGGCATCGGAGATATTACTCTAACCAGGCTCAAGCTTGGAGTGGGTGTGTGCTTTCCCACTGCCCGCCCGCGTAGACGTAGCATCCACCAGCTCCTGGACCCCTTCCACCATGTTTCGGGGAAGCGCAGATCCGGGCGGGTGTGAAAAGGAAGGGGGAATGGACGGCGAAGAAAAGAAGCTTCCGAACAACAGCGGCTTCCGCGCGAGTGTGGGTGGGCGCGCAATACGACTTTCCGCAACTATACGGAGCCGAAAACTCAAGCAATCAAGAGTGAAACGAACGTGAAAGAGGTGGGCATGTGGGCTGGGGAAAACCACGTGCGCCATGGCCTCAAGGAGTTAGTCGGGGATATCAAATGACCAGTAGAGACGAACATTAGTCCGGCTAAGTATCAGAAGAGATTATGAGCGGCATATAGGGTGGCTAGCTCGGCAATCTCTAGTCATTTGACGCCAAGCATCGCGAATTGGCGACCGTTGAAGCGAAAGAGACGACGAGACGAACTGGACGTGCGGTGGCAAAAATAACATGAAATCCAAAGGAGCGGTGCGTAGGCGCCGCACAGCTGGGCAGCTGAAATGAGAAGAAGTAATTCCGCCCCAGGCCCCTTGCCTCCGCAGCACGGAGGGCTGACGCGCGGTTGGGCGGTTGGATATGGAAGGTGGTTTTGACGGGTTTCCGAGATGAACACTCGATTGGCCCTACGTCGAGCATCACTGGTGTCTGGACTCCAGATCCTCGGGTTCCCGTCGCTGGGGTGAGGTGAAACGACAAACAAAAACCCGCCGAGAACAGTCGCTTCCACCGCCTCGGTTGTTTGTGTTTTTCGACGCTGGCGTTCCATCTCATCTCAGGATGTGCAAGCCTCAGCTTGATGCGCTCGCATCCGTCACATTTGACGCGGCGGGTTGGGCTGTTGCTGCGGGGATGCCTAAGGGGTCCAGCGCTGGCGAGAGGTCGAGGCCAGCCCAAGGCTCTCTGGCGTCGCACGTCGTCGCAGAAGCGAGACCCCTGCGTGGCCTGCACCAAGCCCTTCCGGCTTGACGAGCATGCGCTAGTTGCCCGCTTGGGACGTTGTGTCCCAAGCGTCGAAATCTGTAAGGCTGGACGCTGCTAGTCCATCTGCTGGCTGCGGCTTGGGGTGCTTTCAGCGCGCGGGCTCCCCCGTCGCGTCGCGATTGGCCGGCGGCCATGGGGAGGAAGCGTGTGAGTTTCCCTTGCCCTAGCCCGAACGTTTCTGGCGCGCCAATCAGAGGGCCGGCTGGGCTTCCCTGCCATCTGCCAGAGCCCCTGCAACGTCGTGCTTTCAGCCGCAACGCTGGGAACGTCCCGCTCCCTTCCCACCTGGTTTGTGCCTTGCACTTTGACAACCTGGAATGTTTTATGTCCAACACCACGGTTGTGCCGAGCCACACGTCACCTGCCAGCCGGACACGACATGGAGGCAGGACGAATTGAACCGGGGCGCTCGAGGTAGGTACACAGTAGGCCCCGGCAGAGCCACGAGTCATGACCTGCGATGAGAGCCGCCCCTGCCACTCTCCTACCTACCTAGCCCTTTCATCTATGCAGCCCAAGGTTGAAGCACGAGCATTTCAGACTGCGCACATCTGCAGCAGCAGATTGATTCCAAAGGCCACATCATCAGGCCACACACCGCGTCTTGCTTGCCACAGCTCCGCTATGCTGCTCCTGTCGTCGATCGTGGCTTTCTCCAAGGACCCTCTTCGTCCTGTCTCACTGCTGCCAAACCCTCTTGCTGCACGCTGTGCCAATGCAATTGCCATGCATTGGATCGAAGGTCGTCGAATAGGGGCGTTTTGTGCCAGCGTCGCAGGTTTGAGGCTCATTCTCCCATGCCAGGGAGCCAGGAAACGGCGGGCCGTCGATCTCCTGCACGATGGTCATCTCCATTCTATCCGACTCGAGCCTAAATGTCGCTCTGCGCCCAGCCGGGTCCTGGCAAGCACCCCCAGTCGGTGGCTGCAGCATCGCTTCTGCGCCAGGCGGATGGCAGCCACTACACTGATAGGCCGCTCGCGTCGCCGATGATTGATGATATGAATGCCCAATCTAGAGGAGTGGACGGGCGCACGCACCACTCCTGCCACGCAGCGGATCATCTCTCCGATCTCATGAGTCTCGGCAAGCCGCAACCAACCAACCAGACGAGACGCGTGCCCAGGCGACCCCGCGACTCTTATTTTCATTAGACTGTTGCCGCGGCTCCGTTGGCAGCGGCAACCGTTCTGCTTTGGGCGCTGTCGCCCGGTGTGGTGCTCCACGGGGTCGGGAGCTCCTCGCACAGCCAACATAGCACAGCCAGCCTAATTCTATGAGCGAGCGAGTGAGCTCGCCCTCGCAGCTACGCGCCGGTGCTATGGCTGCCCCGGCTCGCGTATTGCCCCGACCTTTTCTACCCGGCGGGCTGGCTACCGTGGGTTCACTGCTCTCGCCTAGTGGCACCCGCGCGGTGGCCACGAGTCACGGCTCCCAGACCTGGCCGTCCTTGGAATTTTCAAAACGGGTATCTCACATGGGGGTTGCAAAACGGGGCCAGCCTACAGACCGACTCGGGTACCTGTCTCGGCTGGCCGAACCCAGTAAGACGGTTGCCCAGCACGCGAGGGCCAGACACCCTGGCCTGCCAGAGGGTCCAGATGAGTGAGGCGCCGCGCGACACACAGAGGCCCATAGGATGTAGTGGCATCAAAATCCCAAGCCAGACGTCAACATCTTTGCTTCCTGGGCGTGCCCATACCTTCCTCGTGGGCACATGGTGCCTGGCAAATCGGGGACACTGCGGTCCTAGCCTCCCATCCTCCCTGCCACCCTGCCTTCTCAGTGTCGTGCCGCCCTGTCAGGGGTCGCCTTGCGGTGGGGAAGGGTTGCGGCAGGGGTGGTCAAGATGTGGGCACTTGGACACCTGCGTCTCGCCCCTTCGGATACGCAAGCAGGCAAGGTTGCAGGGGCACCCTCAACGACTTCAAGGGGATCTCTTGATTGTCGGGCCACCTCGCTTGCTGGGCCTTCCGTGGCCACTGAACGACCCGCAGGGTTTTCGCCAAATCGGTGGCTAGAGCGCGCCTTGGCACCAAACCAAGTACAATGCCAGCCCTTCCCCCCCCCTCCTGTGTGTGCCTCATCCCATGCACGCCCACCTCACTCTACTAGCAGGGTCATTCGTTTCTAATAGTAGTAGGCACAGCCACGCCGGTCGTGGACTTATGCGTTGTAGAAGTGACTCTATTCTCACACAAGACACTCATTTCTTCCCTTCTTTACGCCGTCTTGGCTGTTCACCTTGAGAGGTTCTTTTTCGTTTTCTTCTTTTTTGCTGTTTTCTTTTTTCTTCTCCAAGTTGACTTGTAGTCGCTTCTTTTTCTCTTTACTTGCGCCTTCGTTTTCTTTAATCCCGACCATGTCTGCTCTTCCTCCTCGCCCGGCACCGCCGGTTTCGGCACTACCTGCGTCGCCCGCTCCTCGTTCGGCCGTCCTCGCTTCACGCCCGGTGCTGGCACCGGCAGTTCCCCCTGCTCCGACACTAGAATCGACATCGGGGATGATCGAGGTTGCGACGCCGACTGATGGTGGTCTCGAGGTGGTGACCCTCGAAACGACTGCTGCGACTCCCGCGACGACGACCGCGAGCCCGGCGACACCGGTGTCCGCCCCCATACGGCAACCACAGCAGGACTACTGGGACGAGAAGATATGCCTCGAAGTCGAGTACAACGCTGATTACCCCCCGCAAACCATCGTCAACGATGGAAACAGCACCGGTGGTGCCGATATCAAAGTTTCCATGGACGGCGGCTTCCCTGCACCGGGCGGCCTAAAGCGGACCAACACCAACGGCTCCGCCATCTCCGAGCCCGCGCCCGCATACAAGAGCGGCGACACATTCACCGACTCGCCTGCTTCCGAGAGGGGTATGTGGAGGGGCGACGCCGGCGTCACCGACGCCGATCGGCCGAAGCCGGCTGGCGAGACCATGTTTGGATATCCCAAGAAGAAGGTCATCATGATCGGTGGTAGCATTCTTCTCCTGATTGGTGTCATAATCGCCATCGCGGTAGGAGTCTCGCTGGGCATGCAGGGCCAGGCCTCAAGGTCTGCGAACTCCGAGGGCTTGATGATGGACAACACCAGGGTCGCATCCATAAACTGGACCGAGGCTGTCAGCGGAACCCGCCACGTCGCCGTCTTCTACCAGACCCGCGAAAGCTCCCTTATGGCGTCGACACGCGACACGCTCAGCAACAGGTGGCGGACCGTCAACGTGACGGCCGCGGTTCTCAAGAACACCAAGGCGCTTTCGCTGGACGTCTTGCCGGGCACGCCCATCGCCGTGTGCAGCAACCAGTTCCAGCAGTCGCTCTACTACCTCAACTCGCGCCGCCAGGTCCAGGAGCTCTACTCGTCCAACTTCAACGCCGACGAGTGGTTGAGCGGTATGTTCTCGTCCAAGATCCAGGCCAAGTCGGCCCCGGGATCCAAGCTGTCGGCGGTCAGGCAGATGTGCAACAACTGCAGCAACTCTCTCCTTGTCACGTGGCAGGACGACGATGGCAAGGTCCGCCTGGCCAACTTTACGGCCGACGCCTGGCAGGAGATGCCGCCCATCGCTGAGAGCGCCGCCCCGGGCACCGGCCTTGGTCTCACGGCCTTTACCGACTTCCGCGGCACCGGCCCATTTGGCACCGACACCAACGCCCTCCGCATCTACGTGTCCGGCGGCACCACTCTCATGGAGTACATCAACGGTCCCGAGACCAACTTTGCCTGGACCACTGGCAACTTCGGTAAGTCTCCACATTTTCCCACCCAGCCCTGTCATCTGCCAGGGGCTTCTTCGAGTCAAGGTCCACGTCTTGGCACAATGCATGAAACCCTCCCTTGCATGGCACCACATGCCCCTGCCGCCCTGGCGTGACAGCCAGCCCTGGCAGGGCCGATTTGAAAATCTGGGGACGCGAGGTTTCGAAGATGCGGCTCGCCAACGAGGAAAGCCCTTTGCTACGGACTGGCTAACCATTGCGCGTGCCCCACCCACAGGAAACCCGCTTGCCTCAGGCCTGCCGGTCAGCCCCAGTCCCGATATCGCGTCCATCACGTACGGCCCCAACGGCTGGATAAACAACCTGGTGGCCTACACCGACGTCTGCGGCAACATCCAGACGGCCGTCTGGCGTGGCACGACCTGGTCCATTCAGCAGGCCACTCTTACGGGCCAACCGGCCGGTGTCGATAACTTCACCGCCATCACGGCAACGCAGGAGATGCACATCTACGCCCGCCATAAGGGTGGCAAGATCCACGAGTTTGCAACCAACGCGTCCAACCCCTTCCTCTGGACCTGGCAGGGCGCTCTGTGAGCGCGTTTATACGCCGTCGATGTCGACCTTTATTTCGTGATGGGTCCCTGGGGGATGAGATTATCTTCTCGACAGCAGTCATGAGGATGACGGAGAATTTTACAAGGAAAACAGAGAAAAAAAAAAACCAAATGGGTTCGGGGTTCTTGGGTCAATGAATCGGTGTTGATGACTCTGGGTGGAGGGAAGGGCAGGGACCCCATCGGCCGCGGCGCGAGTTCTCAACTTGGGGGCCATCCCGAGCAAGAGAGAGGAACGGTGGTTTCTACGCTACAGCACATCGCACTAGGAACATTACTTCGAGCCCATCCAACGGTTTCGCGACGTATTTGAATGACGACACAAACATACAGGACACTATTTTAGAGATTTTTCTTATTTTTCTTCTTCTCGGCCTCGGTTATTTTCTCTTGGTTTTTTTTTTATTGTTTTCTTTTCTTATCCCTTCTCACCTTCTCTTCTCCTCCACTTACTTGCTTTTTCTGCTTTGCTTTTTCCCCTGTTGGTCCAGTTCTTCTCTTGGAATGACCAACATTTGCACAAAGGGGATGGGGGTTTTCTATATCCATAACCAAACGGGGTTGCACAGGGCGGATCGGAGCATTGGATACCACGATGATGGAGCCTGGGCTGGGGTTGAACAGGAGGGAGAGAAGACTGCGGCTTTGGAAGGCGAGCCGCGGCAAAACAACGAGGAGGAATGTGGTTGACAAGAGGCGCGAGAGAGATCTCCTTTTCTCGCATCAAGTACCTAGAGCTGCTTTACTCTAACATTCCTCTGTCTCTTTTTTCACGTACCTTTATTTGTTGTTTCCTTTCTGTTTGCCTCGCCTTTTTCTTCCTGTCCGCAGTCTTGCTCTCTCTCTCTCTCCTTTGTTTGTCACCACTCATCCATCATCCCAATGTTTTGGACGTCGAGAACAACTGTGGGCCCCCGCTTCAATGTTGGACCGTTTCCTGTTGTGACTCCCTCTCTAATGTCTTGTCTCCTTCGTCGTTGTTTCCTTGCGAACTTACGATATACCTGGCTGCCAAAACCCCCGCTGCTCACTGCTAGGGTGAGTAGTGTCGGGGATGGCCTTGCCCGATGGAGTGTACGCATACGGAGGTGTCAGGCAAAAGTTTTCGCCGTGGGGCAGTACCGACCAGGGCAGGACGGGTCCAGCTCCTACCAAATAAGGCCTAGCTTATACATTCTTCAACATCAATTACTGTACAAGTCTAGAGCTGTAAATATATGTTAATTTATGAGCTTCTATGCGTTGCTATTGGTCGTGGCATACCCCGGCCCCTGCCTCGCCTCGGGAGCGACCTGCCCCACGGCGAAAACTTTTGCCTGTTCGTCCTACGCCGCAATGTGGAAGTAAAAAATAACCTTGCAGACGAGGCTGATTCCACATGTCCCCTCCTTGAATGTCACTGTAACATCAGGGGGTTTTTTTTTTCATCTGCAACCAACTCTATTCCCGTCGTAGTGCTAGCTCAAACTTTTATAGCGGGAAAGTAAGCATCCAAGCTAGGGCTCGCCGTGGCTTGTCCAACGGGAGATCATTCTACGGTTTGTTTCTTCATCGGTCGGCGATACTCCGTGCGAATGTCACGCGAGCACCCGGCCGAGAGAACGGATGGAAGGGGAGGGGGACGTTGATGAGGCTCCTCAAACTCGCCACCCTTTTGCCGCCTTGGGTCTGCCAAGCGAGGGGAAGGAACGGCCAATCCCTCCCCCCGGCCCAGCCGCTTCTGGATCGACGTGGGGTGAGTGGGGGTTGCTGGGGCCAATGTTGTTCACGGATTGGTCGGGGCTGGATTTAAGCATCTTTCCCTTTTTTTTGTTCTCAAACGTTTTTATGCTTTGCGGTCGAATGGATGGAGATGGATGGATGGGGACCCTTCGTGTTGGGCGCGCCCGGTGGGCATTGAAAGTGGCACTCGAAGTGTCCAAAAAAAGGAATTCGGTCAAGTCCGAGAATGCTGCGCAGCCCACGCGCCGTGCGTTCCAGTTAGATGGTACTGTCGGTACTAGGCAATGAATTAACCATCCTCCCCCCCCCATTTTTCTTCTCCTCGTGATAGGCGTGAGATGGATTAGGTTGCCAGGCATCCGTGTCTAGTACGACGTGGTGAAGGCGAACCTTGGCCACGTCGTAATGCGACGTGGTGACGGTGGCTTGGACGTGTAGCATCTAGATTGATTTGTCTTTTTTTCTCTCCACGAAATCGAAACAGAAACGCGCCTCGGTCGATTTCCCAGGGCTGGGACGGCTGGTATCTATGGTTTGTAGTCTACCTAGGTATGGGTGACGCAGCCATGGGCAAGGCGAATGCATTGAAAACAGGCGGCAAAAGAACAAAAAGGAAGCCCTCGATCTGCCTTCGGCGCGGCAACGCGAGGCCCTGGAAAGCCATGGATGCGCCCGGTTCGGGCCACCCGTACGCCCGTCTGGAATGCTCAATGCCATCAACCCGCTGCTTGTCATACCACGTCCATGTCGCTCTCTCCCTCTTTCCCTTGCTCTCACCCCACCTCCCGATCACGATCGCTTCGATGCTTCTTCCTGGGATCCCTGGACCACGTGGCCAGCTCGAACACACACACACACGCACACCCCGCGGGCGCCGAGCCGGAAGGCCGGCGCTGATCGGGGGAAAGCTGCGGCTCAAGGTTATCTGATCTACCAAGGATCGTGGGTAGTGACGGCTGTTGTTCCGTTTGAGGTAGACAGAAATGCCTACTATATACCTAATCCAATAAGAAAAGAAAAGAGAGAGGCATCGTAAGGGAAAGAGAACACGAGGCATGGGCCACCATTGGCCGTGAATCCAAAAATACGAGTCCAGAGCCATGCAAACAAACAAAAAAGACAAGACTATGATGCGCAACTCGAGGAAACGGGGAGCAGCAAACTACCTAGCGAACGCACTTGAAACACAACAAGGCCCATATGACGCTTCTATAATCAGTCGAGAAATCAAACGCCGATACAATGGGAATGCTCCAGAGATGTGGGGAAATGGAGGGGGAGGAGGACATGTAGATGGGAAAGGTGGTGGACATGATGCTTGGTGTTTTGAAAACAGTCAAGATATAGCTCGCCAACGACGAGCCATGGGGGCCCAAGACGGCGTAGCGCAGCCCCCCAATGCACCCAAAAGCGGCAAAAAAGACGTTGCAACGATCGCTATGGACGGGAGTGGGAGGTGAACCCTCGCTTGTCGTGATCGATGGCGGGGATGTGGGCATTCACCGGTCGGGCCGCGGCGTCTGTGTGTGATCGAGCTGCGGCCCCCCGCCATCGTCGCCATCCTTGCCTGCGGGCGTTGACGGCGACCGCTCGTTTCGCCACGGGTCCCCGTCCTCGGACCCGTCGACACTGGCGCTCACGCCGTCACCGTCGTGGTGGAGCACCTTGAAGATGCGCGACGCCCTCGGCGTCGGCTCCTCGAGTTGCGGCGGCGATGGCGATATCAGCGTCGCCTCGTGTTGCTGTTGCCCGTGCTCGTCGTCGTCGCCATTGCCGTCGCCGCCTCTCGCGATACGTGACAGCGGGCGCGGGGTTCCGGCTATACTGGTGCGGCCGCTGCTGTCGGAACCCATCGGCAGTTCGTCCGGGTCGACGGGCTGGGGTTGGGGCGAGAAGGGCCGGACGCCGCGGGACTGGTTGAACTGCGACACGAAGCTCTCGTCGTCCCTCATGACCCCTCGGTTGCTGCGCTGGGCCGACGACAAGGCGCGCGCCAGGCTCTGGTACGGCTCGTCGTCATCGACCAGCAGGCTGTCGGCGCGGTGGTGGCCCGGGCGCGTCGTCTCGCTAGCCGAGTCGGCTAGGATGGACTTGGGC